ATAATATTAAGTGCATGCACAAGTCTTGTAAAGGTAGGCAATGGTTAGCCTCTGCAAGACTGGGGAAAGAGGCACCAATGCTGCAAGTTGTTCCACGTAGGCAGACCACACCTGGTGGAGCACCACCACTGACGTCACTGGGGTTCTGCATAGACACAGAGGTCCATGCTTGTGGCACAACTTGCAAGATACAGACCATCAGAAATTTAAAGCTCATCAGCACCTGAGTGAATACTTACATTTTCAAAAATCCATAACCAATAACTAAAGCTGATTGGTGAAAAAAGCTGAAAACTTAAAAAAAATTAAAACTTTATGTTTTTTTTTAATTCAAAAATTTTAATTTTGGAAAAATTGATTAGTTCTATATGCAGTCAAAAAGATGGGGTAATTTTTTAAAAAATCTCATTTTTTCAAATCTTGAAATTATGAATTTTGAAATGTCATTGAAATGTTGAAATCCTAAAATTATTGACAAACTTTACAAACAAATCAAAATTTTTGCACCCATCTTTATAAAAATTAAAAGATCTTTATGTAGATTTTTTGTACCATCAGGAAATAAAAGAAATTTGGAATTTTTAGACCATGGGCCCAAGCCTGCAAACACTGATTCATATGTACAACTTTATTCATAGAAGTAATCCCATTAGAATCACTGGAACAACAGACTACTCACATATGTAAACAGACACGTGGGTAAGAGTTTGCACAACTAGGATCTAAACTATTTTGGAGATAGAACTTTCCCTTCACAAAATAATACAAAGTTTTTCAGAAAAAATCACCTTCATCTTTTAACCTAAAAATTTCCACAAAACATCTTCTCTGACTAAACACCACCCATATGCCATTTCTAAAAAGGATTTATTTTAAAGACGTTGGGGTTGGCATCGTGTAAGAGTCAAAACTCAATCTTAAATCAGTATGTTATAAATTCAGCTTTAGAACTTTAATTCTCATCCCTTATTCATACAAGTCATTGCTACTCATGTGAGTGTGCCCAATTCCAGTCAATGAAATTACTTACCTGGATAAGAACTACTTGACTGACTAAAGTTTGCACGATCAGTCCCTTAATTATAGTGTCACTACTGGATATGTCCACCTTGTAAGGAAAGTGTGTGTGTAACTAACTGCTGCCCTCTACTGGAGAGATTCATTGCCCTCTTCTGGGGAGAATCAGAACTGTCCAATAGTGCTTTATACATTAATAGCTTACAAATTCTCCTTTAGCTCAAGTTAGAGGGAGGGGTCTGTATTTTGGAGGATACCACCAGTTCTAGCCTCACTGTTAATATAAAGTTAAAAGTGGCTGTAATGTGCACCATGATGAGCCACAGATTTGTGGCAGACAGGGCTTGTCATTACAAGAATATTAGGTTGTGTTAGTATACGACCTTGAGGCGCTGTGTTAATTAACATGATGTTAAACATGATATAATCAGTATAGACAGAAACAAGTTGTGTTTAACATTGAGTAAGCTGGTTGTCAGTAAACCGTACTAGAACCATACATTTAGAGGAATAAGTCTCATTGTTCTTATACTCAGTTGCATTAATATGGATTTAGGATATGTGTTTTGCGCAGGAGAATTCTGAAAAGAATCTGATTAACAGCATTAGTTGGGTTTTAAACTTTTCATATCTCAACCTCTTTTCAAAATATCAAAATATTTCAAACCATCGATAAGCTAATCCATTTTGATAATTACTAATTTTTAGGTAAATGTAAACATTTCTGGACATAAGTAAGTGAAAAGCCATTTAAAATAAGATGAGTGTAAGAAAATGTACTGAGTGTATTTTCTTACACTGATTTTAATTAAATGGCTTTTCACTTACTTATGTCCAGATTCTGCAAACACTTATGCATGTGCTTAACTTCATTCATGTACAGTAGTCCCACTCATATCAATGGGACTGCTCAGGTGCATGAGGCCAGGTCTACACTAGAAACTTTTGACAGTGTGGCAATATTGGTTAAGGGTGTGATTTATTTATTTATTTAACATCTGTATACTGGCAAAAGCCCTAGATAGAGTTATACTGGCACAAAAGTACTTTTGTCAGATATAGTTTGTTTTGCTTGCCAAACCGGATAAGCACCTGTTTGCCAGTAGAAGCTGTGTCTACACTAGGAAGGTTTGCCAGGATAGGTATAGCAGCAAACTTTTTCTATTGCCCTGTAGACTTCGCCTAAAGTGAAGCATATGCATGTTTACAGGATTGAGGTCTTCCATTATATAATGTGTTTTCAAATAACTATTTGTAAATCAGTTACTATTTATTTTCAATAAACAACATTTCAAGGTTAAAATATAAATTGCTAGAGTTTTGTTTTGTGGTTTGGCTTTTTACAAATACTTATAAAATAATTTGCTCTCAGACTGAGACCCTGGATGCTAAATTTCAGCTCTGAGGTAAATTTCATGGCCTAAACAAAACTCCCTGAATATACGGTACTTACATTTGAAAGGAAATAAATGAGACTCTAAAGCTGTTGAATCAAAAGTGGCTACACTAAAATAAAGAAGGTGAGCTATTAAATGTAGTATTCTACTCTTGCTAAAAGCATGAGGTGGCAAGTTAATTAAGCTATCCGTCATGTGAAGTTTGGGAGTAAAAATCTGTCAGTGAATAGTATAAGAAACAATTTGATGGACTGCTCTGTTTCATTATCAAGGACATGACAGCAAAGGCACAATACATGTTACTGAGCATTTAGAAAGATTTTGGCATACTTGGGTAGCATTTTGGAGCTCTGTAGGCCTCTTCATAGAGTGTTTGGTAGAGCTTACTTTCAAGGTCAGATTAAGGCGATCAAGGGCCCTCAGCCCACCATGACATGCGGGCTCCCCTGTGGCTTCTCCCCTATAGCTGTGCTCCCTGGGCCTTCGCCCTGTACTCACTTGGAAGGGGATGGCAGGGGAGCCCACCCTTCCCAGAAAGGTAGTGGCAGTGACACTTTCCCCCTCAGAAGCACTGCAGCATCACAGCGCTCCTCCCAAAGTCTGGACAGGCAGAAGGAAGCCCTTGGTATTCACCCCAGCAGTCAGTGTATCTAGTTGGGTGGGTGGGCTGGATACACTGCACTCTTCTCCCCCTGCCACAAAGTTCTCTATAAGGGTGTTGTTGGCAAGGGTCCCCAGAGCAGTGGGTCTTGGAGTTAACACCCACTGAGGTACATGGTGCTGTTTATTTATTGTTTCAGGCTCTCTACTTACGGAAGTAAGTAAATGAACAAGTGCAGTCAGACTCCTTGAATTTATTACACAAGTTTCACATTTTTATGCTTTTCTTCATAACAATGAGGACTAGAAACCTCCTCTTTTTTAAATAAAAGCTTAGGTTCTGGTGTAATCAAATAGCTGCAGAAACTGGGTCTGTGGCATGAATTTACAGCCCCGAGGCCTTAAATCAATCCTGCTTACTTTTCATGTATGACAATATTCATTCCTTGTCACATAAACCCTAAATAATAGGGAGTTTTGACGTTGGGTAATGGAATCCATACAAATATCCTGTGAGCATGCAGTGTGTAGGAGGTGAAGAGGCCGCTATACACAGCCGTTCTGCTTGTGCTCTTCTTATGCAGATAGCTAATGTCTGGCCTAGCTGTCGGAGAAAGCCTGGGCAATACACACCTGGATAAACTTCACTTCTAATGAATGGGATAGGTTGTGATAGCAAAAGGGTGAGAATCTGTGTCAAGGGACAGTAAATCAAACTCAGCCAGAGAACTGGATCAAGGGCTCAGATTAGGAATGTGGAAAAGTATGAGCAGTCATATGGACACCTGGATGTGTAAATGAGTAGACAAATGGAAGTAAGTAACTAAATGAGCAAGTGCATATGTGAATAGTGAAAGTATCAGTACACGTGTGCTGGCACAGACCAGAGGAAGAACAGTTGTCTAAATGAGCTTTAACTTTTGTGTGTGTATCAGATTTGTATTTGCTACTGTTTTTGTATATTCCAAAGATGACTTCTGTGAATGCAAAAGAAATATTCCTTACCATCTCTGCTACTAAGATTGACAATTATGTAACAGAAAGATTAGTCTAAATTATGAGTCACTGGTCAGCTCTCCGGGTCATAAATAGGCATTGAAAACAATGGGGCTATGCTGACTTACAACAGTTGAGGTTCTAGCCTACTGTGCCAAATGCTGCTCTCAGTACTACATATAACCAATTGACTACATTAAGTTCAATGAAGTTCCTTTAGATTTTTCACTGGTGCACATCTGACTACTGTAGTTAAAGCATGCCACATAGACCAATTAACAATGATCAAAATAAATGAACGTCTTCTGTAAGTGAATTTCTCATTTCTTGTACAAAGGGAAAGTGAACATTACTTTTACAGCTGTACAATTTTGGAAATTCTCCTATGCTGCCTGAAGTATCCCATCTTGCCTTAATGGTATTTCATCAAAACCATACATTTTATGGTGAAGTAAGTTTTCTGGAGCCCACTTGCAAGGATCTTTTGGGTGAAATCCTGGCTCCTCCCCCGCTTTCAAAGATCTTCTAGGGGAAATCCTGGCCCCATTGACGCCAATAACAAAACTCCTTTTGTAATGGGGCCAGGATATTACCTATTATTATTATTATCACTGCTACTTTTTTATATAATGCAAATAATATTAAAATGGATGCAGCAGTTCTCATATCATCGCAGGCCAGCTCTGGCATCGGGCTGCTAATCAGCTTCCACTCCAGCGTCACAAGAGCGTGTCTAACAACAGCCCGGGAATGAGTGTGTGTGTGTGTGTGTGTATTTGCATAAAGAATGTGTTTGCCGGTAGAGAAGCCCCGCACCAGCCCTGACCCCAGCCTGGGCTGCCCAGGGCGAGTGACCCTTTGCCCGTGTGTGGGTTGCAGAGCCCAACCTCATGCGCTGGCTCGACGGAGGCTCCCAGCCGTTCCAGCCCATTGTGTGTGAAGCATCCCCCCCAGTCCCTCCCCATTTCAGCGTGGACCAAACCATTGCACTGCGCCACTAGACGTGCGGAGCCGCCGTCTCCCGAGCGGTCGCTCACCCTAGGCAAAGGCCGGGAGGCGGGCGCAGCCGAGGGCGGGCGGGCGTGCGAGGCGCGGGGCAGGGCCGAGCCTGTAGCTCCGCTCCCCTCCGCGCGTGGGGGCAGTGGGAAGAACCCGGCTGCGCTCTGCCTCCCCCGCCGCCAGCAGCAGCAACAGCGCCCGGGAGAGTTTCATTCAGTGCCGGGAGGAAGCGCTGCCTGCACGGGAGGCGCCTGCCCGCCGCGCGGCTCGCTGCTCTCCTCCTCCTCTCGGCGGCTGCTTCCCCGCCTTCCCCGCAAGAGGCCGGCTGCCCCCTGCCTGCGCGTAGCCACCCCCGGAGCAGAGGCGCCCGCGAGAGGCCGGCAGGGAAGGTAAGGGCGCCGCGCGGGAGGCAGATCTGCGAGCGGGGTGCGGGGGGGGAGGCAGTGCCGGGACTGCACGCGCTTATTGTTGTCCCAAGCAGCTGCAGCTCCCGCTGCCTGCCCCCCAGTGTAATATTGCACGGAGGCTGGGCTTCCCGGAGCTCGTTTCTGGGGATAGCAGCATATTCTGCAAGATTCAGAACATCTGTGGGCCTCGGGGTGTCCCCCCCCCGCATGTGTCCCCCTTTCCTCTTGTGATGTAGGCTCTGGTTCGGGCTCGTTGGGTCTGGAGTTGTGACAGCAGGAGGTGGAAGTTTCCCCAGCAGCTCGGGAAGCGGAAAGCTGTTTTTAAAGGGGGGAGGGATTGGGTGGTTTTGTGTGTGTGCCGACGGAGCCTGCAGCCTTGTAGCTAGCTGCAAAGAGAGAGGGAAAAGTTATGATGCCGAGGTTGGACGCACGAGGCTTTCGGAAGGATTTTCCTTGTAGGGTTAGATGTTTGATGCTGGAAGGATTTGATAGCTGATACTAAACTTAACAGGGCAGATGCACTCTGCAGGATCCTGGTGCCTAGTTGGTTTGTTGCTGCTGGAAGTCTCGAACCCTTGAGCGCTGACAGTTTTTCTCTGTGCATTTGATTTTAATGACACTGTTGCCCTTTAAGGAATGTTTCAATATACTCACGTTCCTCAGTGTTTGCAGGATCAGTGCCTAAGCAGGAGTGGTGGGTTGTGACAAAGAGAAGTGAAAAGGTTGTTTGTCTCAGTAGTGCACAATTCACTTCTCAGAATAAGATGCAATAATGTGGTGGGATACCGCTGCTGTTGGAAAACCCAACTGCCTCGCTGCCTAGAGACAAATTGCAGTACCAAATTTTTATTAGTTCTTTTTACTTAAGACCAGGTTATTGTAGTTCTAGTAACAGGACAAGCCCCCCAACTCTTTTTTAAATTTGCTTTCTTCACCATAAAACTGCTCAGAAATAAAGTGGTTTGGTTGTTCCTAAATTCCTCATTAATGGCAAGGGAAAACACATGGCCCAGGAGACAGAAACCGAGAGTAGCTGTTTAACCCTTCGGATTTGTTTTTCTGACTCAGAAAGAAGTGTGGACTTCCTTCCTCCTCTAATTCTCTTTCTCTGTGATGCAGGGCAAAGCACAAGGCTTCTTCCTGTGGGTCAGGCTTATGCCCTGTTCAGAATCTGGTACACATCTGTCACAACATTACATGAAATTAGGCCTGTCTTGTGGCTAGTTTTTTAAGGACCCCTGACAGGTTTTGTTTCAAGGGAGGATTTGACTCTGCAGGAAACTTTAGGTGAGGGAAGAGAGAAGATTTATCCAAAATAAAATGCACAGGGGTGTTTTTCTATATTCCCTTTCCTGCTATTATTGTGATCTAGATTATATTTCTCTTAGAAAATACTTGCTCAGAGCCATTGCTCAGAGTTCAATGAAGTCAATTTGGTTTACATTATCGTTGGAAAGGTAGTGATGTGTCATATGACCTAATATGTGATCACTTGTAAGGGGAGGAGATGGTCTGTGAAGGAATGAAGTCCTTCAAAAACCTAGTCTAAGCAAATAGAATGTACAATAAGAAATTATGTGCCAAAATCCTAAAAGTATATGCATTTAAGCACTTAACTTTGCAAGTTTTACTTAACATGAAAATTCATGTAATTTGCATCTTGATCCCTGTTATCTCAGTGTTTAAGATAAAAAATTGATCACACTTAGGTTAACTCAGACATACTGAAGCTGATAGCTGCTTTCGCTTCATTATATGCAATTGTCCCTTGTACTTAAAATGACAGAATTAATTTTCTTGCCTAAAAGACATAACATACCTTTAAAAGATCTGGGAATGTAGTTCTTTTTATAACTTAGTTATAGGTTTTAAAAATTGTTTGTATTCCTAACTCTTTCATAGATTTCCTGGGTGACCTTGGGAAAGTAATTTAACCTTTGAGCCTCAGTTTCCTCATCTGTAAAATGTCCTTACCTTTTCTAACATATTGATGCTAAATGTTCATTTGTAGAGTATGGCTGATAGGGCTGATGCTATAAAAGTATAAATGTTAATTTGTTACAAAAATGTTATATCACTTCTTGTCCTACATACAAAATCTGTTGCATGTTCTTAATAGTAGATGGTGTATGTGCACTGCTTTGTGTGTGTGTAGACAAAGGGTACGTCTATACTTACTTCCTGGTCCGGATGTAAGCGATCGATCTTCTGGATCGATTTATCGCGTCTTGTCTAGACGCAATAAATCGATCCCGGATCGATCCCGGAAGTGCTCGCCGTCGACGCCGGTACTCCAGCTCAGCGAGAGGAGTACGCGGCACCGACGGGGGAGCCTGCCTGCTGCGTCTGGACCCGCGGTAAGTTCGGACTAAGGTACTTCAAATTCAGCTACGTTATTAACGTAGCTGAATTTGCATACCTTAGTCCGAAGTGGGGGGTTAGTGTGGACCAGGCCTTAGACTAAGTACCTCACTTATTTTTAAATGCTCTAAAAAGATCAATTTAATCCATTCCTTAGTGCTAAACATTGGCATGCCCCTTCATGCTTCGACCACCATTCCAGAGGACATGCTTCCATGCTGATGACAGGTTCTGCTCAATAACGATCCAAAGCAGTGTGGACTAATGCATGTTCATTTTCATCATCTGAATCAGATGCCATCTACAGAAGGTTGATTTTCTTTTTTGGTAGTTCGGATTCTGTAGTTTCCGAATTGGAATGTTGCTCTTTGAAGACTTCTGATAGCATGTTCCACACCTCATCCCCCATTAAATTTTGGAAGGCATTTCAGATCCTTAAACCTTGGGTCGAGTGCTGTAGCTATTTTTAGAAATCTCATATGGGTATCTTCTTTGCATTTTGTCACATCTACTGTGAAAGTGTTCTTAAAACAAACATGCTGGGTCATCATCTGAGACCGCTGTAACATGAAATATATGGCAGAATGCAGGTAAAACAGAACAGGAGACATACAATTTTCCTCCAAGGAGTTCAGTCACAAATTTAACTAATGCATTATTTTTTTAACAAGCGTTATCAGCATGGAAGCATGTCCTCTGGAATGGTGATTAAATCATGAAGGGGCATACAAATGTTTAGACTATCTGGCACATAAATACCTTGCAACACCAGCTACAAAAGTGCCATGTGAATGCCTGTTCTCACTTTCAGGTGACCTTGTAAATAAGAAGCGGGCAGAATTACCTCCCATAAGTGTAAACAAACTTATTTGTCTTAGTTATTGCCTGAATAAGAAGTAGGACTGAGTGGACTTGTAGGCTCTAAAGTTTTACATTGTTTTCTTTTCGAGTGAAGTTATCTATATAAAAAAAACTACATTTGTAAATTGCACTTTCAAGATAAAGAGATTTCACTACAGTACTTGTATGAGGTGAATTGAAAAATACTTTTTCTTTTGTTTTTTACAGTGCAAATATTTGTCATAAAAATAATATGACGTGAGCATTGTACACTTTGTATTCTGTGTTGTAATTGAAATCAATATATTTGAAAATGTAGAAAAACATCCACAAATATTTATAATAAATTTAAATTGACATTCTGTTATTGTTTTTAACAGTGCAATTAAAACGGTGATTAATCACGATTAATTTCCTTAATCGAGTTAATTTAATCGCTTGAATTAACTGTGATTAGTTGACAGCCCTATCCTAAATGTATTAAAATATGTTTGTGGAGTAAAGAATTAGTGTGTCATTTGAACTGTTAGACTAACTCTATGGTGAATTATTTTTTTCTGAACCTTGCAAAGTATCCGGCAACCTCCTCTGCTGCACAGTGTGATTAAAGCCCTGATCCAATAAGCACTTATGCATGTATTCATGGTACTAGTGTAACTAAAGTTGAGCATCAGCATTGCATGATTATGTCTTATCTGTGCAGAAAATGTGATATCTGGAAGGGGTGGCAGAGATGTGGCTATGTAGCATTCTTAACAATTACTAGCAGCCCTTTCTGAGGCAACAATTTTTGTCAAATACCCGTGGTCATGAGAGCTGTGGCTGAGATTTAACTCAAAACAGCTACTCTGCATGGCATGATCCCAGTCAAAAGGGCCCTAAATTACACGGCAATTTGTCACAGATTATTGTTTTGTGTTTCAATGTTAACTTCTTCAGGGTTTAACAGTCTTTGGATGTTGCAGGCAGGTGCCATAGGAGGTTTCAGTGGCAACTGAGCTAACTGTGGTGGTGGTCATCATGGGGAAATGAAGGGGCAGGCTTTCTAGGGTGGATGTCCTGAGATCCTCAACTGTAGGGCTTTTACAGAGATGCTTTTACACCATGCAATTAAGCAACCATGCCCCTTGCCTCTTCCATGCAACTGCTGATCCCTCCCCAGAGGGATCAAGTTTCCTATGTCCTCAGCCATGTGGAATATTTGTTGTAACTTTTTTCACAAGAGTTGATAATGTGGTCCATGTTTTTGGTGTATGGTTTTTGTTTTTGTTTTTATTGTTACCAAAATAGTTATATCACTAAAAACCCTGGTGTGCATGTAGTTACACTGGTATAAAGGTGACTTCCACTTTCTCGTATGGAATAGCTATCGTAGATCAGTATAAACTGTGCCAAACTGGGAGGGTGTTCTGTTTTAACAATACCGGCATAGTTAAAGTGGTACACCTTTCTAAGTAGACAAACCCTAAGTACACCGTGGTAATTTCCAATTCCATATGCAACCAGTTCACCATATTTTACTACCTTGTATCTTTTGATATTACTTTTTTTTCTTTCTTCCTTCTTTAGTTTTTAAAGTTAGTATCAACATTTTCAGTGTCTGTTCCTTGTGGACTTCTGACATGGTGGGAATGTGAAATCTCAGATTGTTATTGGAAACTTTCAATGTGGGAACATTCCTAGGAGGAAAAAAAAAAAGTAATGTGACTCTTTTTCTGAAAGTATATTTTGGTATTCCAAATTGGGGAGATTACTGAAGTCTCATTTAAAGTAATGAATAC